CACGGAGTTTTCCTCCGGGGGCTTCCCCGGTTTCTCCGTGGCACCCCAACAATTACTCCATTCACACACAGAAGAAGGCAATGGCAAACCACTTCTGGATCATCTGCAAAGAACGTATATAAACAGGTCTCAGTCCGAGAAAAGGATGGAAGGATCCTGTTCATATGGACCTGTCGTCAGACACAACACTAAATAAAATAAGTCAATGAAAATTGATTATCGCTCTGTACACATCTACCAAGGACACTTCCATTTTACTAGGCTCGCAACAACAGAAGAATGAGTGACGTCAGACAGATAACAGTGTGTGAGAGAATTTTTTTTAACGGTTCCCACGCTTCCAGTTATATATAGTAAACCCATTTTACTTCTTTATCATGTTTCGTCCATCTCTTTAAAACTTTAAAGTTCAATACGTTCGTACAACCTGCCTTAGATGTTCGGTAGTAACTCTACATTTTGCATACAGATAGCATTTGGTGTTTTGTAAAATTCTCAGATTAACAGCAGTTATTCTTTGCACGAAGCGCATAGAGAGAATATTACACTCTTGCCGTGTCTGACCGTCCATCCATCCGTCCGTCTGTCCAATAGAATCACCTCGCGAATCTCTGGATGAATTTTGATAGAATTTGATGTGGAGGTTGTGCTATTCCGCACGACCTCAAAACTGTGCTTTTGATTGTCCTATGAGTGGTGATAACAAAATGACTGATGATACGGACATTGAGGTGCTGCTTTCTGGTGTCCAAAGTGATAACTATCTAACAAAGCGGATTTGCTACATTTAAATGCACTTGGCATGACGATATTATTTGTATTCCGGTACGGAATATATTTTCCGAACTTGTTACGAGAAAGGAAAATGATCAACTTTCCACTCCGGTAGCTCTGCCCCCAGTACCATTTGAACAAGAGGCTTGATGAGTCTCAAAACTGGTCTGGACATGTAGGCAATGAGACAAGCCCTGCACTCCCTGGTAACTCTCTTAAACAGCCTGAAAGCGATCTGAAGCAATGTTGTACCAGTAAGGTTGACGAGATTACGAGCAGGCATTTTACAAAGTTCATATTTATATTTAACGGCGCTCCTCAACTGCTCATGATAATATACATCGTCGAATAACACGATGTTTTTGATGTTGAATTGGAGTAGATGTGGAAGGGAGTGTCGGTGACTTGTTTTAATGTAGATGTGTTATCCCAGTAATTACTTGAGAGGAGAACGAAGTGTCAGTTCTAACCTCCCGATTGTTACTGCAAGTCACATGGTTTATTTCGTATAGTGTATAATAAAACTTTTTTGTTACATTTTAGAGCGGTCTGTGTTTTCTAAGAGGTTATTGCAAACAATCTGCTCTCCGTGTCTCCCTCAGGATTCTATAGAAGCTTCCATCCGAGAACTAGACACCTGCATTCCATGTCCCTGCATGACCCCCAGTATAAAGCTGGCGTACTACGTGACAGAAGAACATGGCTGCACGTGGCGCTGCACTAGACACCGCCCAGTCGGGTTTATGTCTTTTATTATTTTACTTAACCAGTTGTGTATGTACACAAGGAAACATAACTGCGAAATGAGATGCACCGAGTTTTCTACAGAGGCCTGTAGACTGTCCCAACGACAACAGAAAAGAATGAAAAATTCAGTGCACTGCACTTGTAAAATAATCAACTTCAAATCTTTGGATTACCAGGTCAACGTTATTTTGTGTACTTAAAATATCAGTACCAACTAAATTAAATTTGTTAAAATAATGACTCGAACTCTGTCGCAAAACTTCTGAATCTATAAATAAACTTTATTAAATCTGTTCCGCTGTAAGTAATAGATTTATATTTTTATTCGGTGACGTTTCACAGCAATAAAAGTAACTAATGCATTAAAATTGTCAGACGTTCCTTTGCCGTCAAAGTACATTTATGAGTTAATTATCCTCACGCAATTCGATAGTGCCCCTTGTGGGTCAAAATGTTTCGCACGCGATAATTGAAGTCAGAATTCCCACATCAGGAACAACAAGTACGTTTTGACATCGTTAGTTTTATACGACATCATACATGACCAAATTAAGGAGGATGAGATGGACAGGGCATGTAGCGTGCATGGGGGAGATGATACGTCGTAGAAGGGAAGATAATATTAAAATTAATATTCAAGATATCTGGTGGTAAGGTGTGAATTTAATTAATCTGGCTTAGAATTCAGACCGTTGGAAGGTTTTCATGAACACGGGTTTTGTAAAAGGCGGAAAATTTCTTGACTAGGTAAGTTTGTTTGTCAAGGAAGACTCTGCCTCATGGAGTTGCTTTTTATCAATTCTTAAATTTGTAGATCGGCGCTCCTGTCAATGCTTGAATTTAGAGGGTTCCCTGGTTCAGTTCCCGGATATGGTTACATCGTAATGTAGAATTAGATTTTCTTTTCATTTAGCCATTAACCACGGTCTGTACCCCGTCCTCCGCCTTACCTCAAGCATTCGTCCTCGTATCTCCCAGTCGACGCTGAAGAAACTCTATACAGTCCATGCAGAAATAAATAAAGGAGTAACGTTTCTGTCGTCCCCGTGGTTAGGAAAAGAGACGATTTGAGAAGTCCCAGTGACCACATGTTTAGAAAGGAAATGTTGAAACGAGACAAAGTATTTACGAAAGAGGTGATGGGGTAAGTGTTTTGTACTGGTGTGGTTCTCAGAAAATCTCACTTATTTTCTCTCTTTCTCTTGACGACATGAAGATAGGAGCAAAGGTGCCGGAATAGAAGCTAATAAATAGATGGAAAGCGATGGTGGAAGAACTGATTTTAGGGGGGTTCGTTTGAGAAGGAAGTTAGCGGAACAGAAGAGGTGAAGAAAATGATCTTCTCTTAACTTGGATAGCTCCTGCTCCTCTGTTCTGCCAATCAGGTCCTTCGCATCCCATTCGCCACTCACTGCCTGATATACAGAAGCTTCCTACCCCCTCCCCCAAATATATCTTTGCTTCACCTTGATGATGTCAATTGCAGTGTTTGCCGAAACGTTGTAAATTCTTCAGTATAATATGGTTACACATTTAACTTCCGCTGCGAAAACCGAAGGTCAGCATTCGCTTTGTGTTTGAGCCATCAATACCAAATTTAGTCGAAATTCCTCGAGGAATTTTTGATCTGAAAGTAATGGACAGACACACACAAACACGGCCTTCTTGTGATACGTTAATGTTATGCCTTCGTTTGTACAAAAACATCAGTTTGAAGAGTGTGTTCGTTCATCAGCAACACTCATGATATTCCCCCATTCCGTGCAAGTAGAAAGTTCCAAGCATGGCGTTACGAGCCATTGACTTTCAGCAGAGAGTGAGAGGGTGCACACCCTCTGATCTCCGTGATCCTCCCCTGTACTCTGGGCCAAGCCAACTCCTCACTAGTCGTCAGATGTCAGTATCGCAACGAGCCGTGAAGAGGCGAAGGAGCAGAAACCTCAATAGCTGCGTGCAACAGTGAATTAACTCGGTCTAAACTGTTAACACTTGGCACTCCTAGTCCCTCTAGTCCAGCGTTTCTCAACCGGGGTTCCCCGGAACCTTAGGGTTACGCGAGAAATAGTGATGAATAGGCTAATCATATGTAAATGTATTTTTGAGTCATTTTTATGTTTAATTTCATATTCGTAATTTTACTATACACGTACGACATATTCTCGGAAAATTCTTGGGTATTATAATAAAGTCTTCAACCTGTTATGTCATTTAGAAATATAATAATTATAAGAAATATATTTAGCGACGTCTATACGGCGCCAGCGTGATACCGCCTTTAGTGGTTAATAAACGATTTAGTTATTGTAGTAGTTATTATCTGTTTTCGTTCTGTTTATATGTGTTATATACGATATTGGTTATTTATGTAAATTCTTTGTGTGAATGAAAACCTCCGTATGAGGTCTCTTGAACAGGCAGTTCGATTTCAGTTTTTTTGTATTGTCAATAAACTTGAGAAAAACGTAAGTAATTTTTTGCGTAAACCAGCTATCAGAAAAAATATATTAAGTTTTCCTTATGAACTTTAAGTTTATAAAAAAGAAAGAAAGATATCAATAATGATATATAATAATTTTTATGTAGGGGTTCCCTGAGACATGAATATTATTTCAAGGGTTCCGCAAGGGCAAAAAGGTTGAGAAACACTGCTCTAGTCTCATGCTGTAAGAGTATCTTAAAACAGGTCAGAACCGATTCTTTAAATATCCTTCCATTCTTCAATACTTAATTCAAATGCAAACTACATAGGCTTAATTTGGGCAGTTCGTTAAGAGTCATAATGCAATTTAAATGCAAAATATTTTGCAATTGCAGAGTATCAGATTGTAAATATTTCTATCGTATAGTTGATCAGCAATTGGTTTACTCTATGTCAACTATTCTTTTTCAGTGAGTTTTGCTAAAAATGCACATAAGTCTTCATGTTTTTGATTTCTGATTTTAACCAAACCAAAATTTCTGTTTCTCACGGCGAATACGATTATTTCTAAGTGTTTAGGTAGAGAGAGTTATATATTAGCTACGTTACACTTTATGTTTTTCGGCTCAGTGATCGTAAACAGTGGAAAATCCAGTAATAAAACTCTGCTTTGCTACAGATGTAGTAATAAATCTGTATGTACCGCATTATAAGATTTATGGAAAATTTTCCGTAAAGATTCAAGAATGACAGTAAATTCGTGCGTATTACTTTTATTGAATAGTGTGACAAACCAGCATATGAAAATTAAAATAATTACTTATTTTTGCTTAATTACGAAAGACGTGAAATATTAACAAATAAACATATGTTTTGACGCGTTGTATAGAAGTACATGTGCCCAGAAGTCAATGGATAAATGAACAATATTTTGTCTCTGACCATTATTTCCAGAAAACAGCATATAAAATTATCAAGTGTTATGTAAGAAATAATATGAACATTATTTACATTTTTATATATCCAGAATATAATTAACTGTGAAGAGTATTTCTCCTTTTAAAGCATTATCATTATTATAATATTATTCCATGAGCCCAAAATCCCTTAACAGCAAATAACCAACATACCATGGCAATGGTTTTTAGAACACACGATTATAAATATTATCACATAAAGCCCAAAATCCATTAACAACAGCAAATATTGACCAACCAACTTTTGTTATTTTGTAGATAGGTATTCCTTTACCAATTTTCTAGTTTTACTATTCAAAAGCCTCAAGTTCTTTAAAAGAGACATTAGATCTACATGTTTAATACACGCTCATATGAAGCAGTGCGAGACAGAAAAGGCAATTTGGGTTCTAAGTATGTAAGAGCAGGGCCCTATTCCCATTTTCACTCTAACTCCTTTCTTTTGAAGCTGAAAAGTTATAATGCGACTGTATACAAGAGCCATGTCAAATCCCTTTTCTTCCTCTGCTTCAACACAATCTCACAACTATTACAGGCTTTTGCAGATAGGCGGAGGTCGGGTGTATAGACAGAAGTGTCTTTTGGGCGGTGTGAGGAATAGGAGGGACCCAGGAACTCATCTTCATTAGAACCAGCTAAATAGCCACAGCCAACCACGGCATCATGCCACTAGCGCTGCAATAGACTTGCATTGGAGTACAGTACTTACTCTGGGAGTACGGCTAACTATACACGCAGATGTTCTGTGGGAAATTGCGCTTCGATGAAGTATCACTTTATTCATATACAGTGCTTGGTGAGCCATCCTGAAAATTGGTATAAATAGGAATGGGATCTAGTTATTTTGTTTTTGTTTTAGTCGCTGTACTAAAGGTTCTCTGTAGATGTGCATTAATTAATGCATAATGGGGAAGTCGTGTTCTGTAAAACGGTCGGGTTTGACACAGGTTTTAGGCATTTATATCAAAATTTGTTGGAGGTAATTTGATTTTGTTTTATGTCGATTCGGAGTTTTCTTCTTGTGAAACTCAACAAAAAAGTTATTCCATCAAAAATAGCTAATTGTACAGAAAGTCGATATATCACCTAAAACATAGATATGATTAAAATCTATAAATTTTCCTTTTAATATTTTTCAGTGTGATGTTAAATGACGTTAAATTATATGCTCGTCAAAACTGACACAACATTTTCGTCAAAAGAGGTCATGGTTCTCTGCATGGCATTATTAGTGTACATAGTGACCACGGAGCAAGGTTTTTTCCCCAAAGTATTGTTTTCCACCGCTAAACATCATTCCACGAATAATCCATAATAATCTGTTATTATATTTAGTATAAAGAGCTCGTAAAATACGTTTATCTGAGGCCGCAATGAAGCTAAGTTTCATCAAACTTCTATTAACAAATTAACAATATCCCTCCACAAGGATGCAATACAAAGTGAAGAAGAGAAAGAAGATATTTTAATTTTTTACATGTTAATGAAACTCAGATTAAAATCATATATCTATTAGGTTCTTTGGAATATTTTTGTATATCGCTTAACGTCAGTGATAATTAATTTCTAGTCTGGTAGAAGATAACCATCTTAAAATATCTGTATTCTGTATTCTGATACCGCTGGGCATGTAAAATTTAAATAGTGCATTTCTGTTGAGTTTATTTCATGTAAAATATTAAATGAAATGCGATAATAAATAAAACATTCATCTGTACATGTCCCTCTGCAAATAATGGCCGTACACGTCATGAATTCGTTATCAATAACTCGAACACTGCCTGATCGTATGTTTGAATTCCACACAGGGCATGAAGGCATTTCTCTACGTTGTCTTGTGCGGGTAAAGGCGATGTAATGAAACGGTCCGCCTACCTGTGAAATCCGACCCAACGTC